CTTACATTTGATATAGCGCCTCTTCTTCACCCACAAAATATAGTCAATTCAGTGTATTCTGTGCAACGTTTTGAGACGTCTCAAAGACGTGATAAGGTGCTGTATCAAATGCAAGGATTATTATTATTAAAATCGGAGGGGAGCTATTGTAATCATTACCTAGCTTTCCTCTCAGTTGGGTGGTTTTTTTGGGGACGTTTGTGCTGTTTTAGGCTAACGATTGGCAATTGGCAATCATTGAAACTGGGAAGAGCTGAGTTGGTGCCTGGTATCTGCAGTTACACTGTCTCTCATACTATAATAACAATAATAATAATCCTTGCATTTGATATAGCCCTTTTCACGTTGAGAGGACGTCCGAAAGCGCTTCACAGAACACACTGTAAAGTGAATTGACTGTATATTTGTGGGCGAACGCGGCAGCCAATTGCGCACAGCAATGTCGGACAAACAGTCGTAGATTGAAAATGACACAATTTATTATTGTTTTGTTTTGGAGGGATTATTATTAGGCTCTGTGTGGAGTAAGGAAACTTGCCCAAGGTTTCGCCCTCTGCCTGGAATTGAACTCAGGTCTCTCACTTGCAAGTGCTCTAACAACTGAGCTACAGGACTCCACGAGTCTGTTGGTGAATAATACTTCTGTCCTTCCTCCTCTCTCTGCCCACCTGCAACAGTAGCACAGTCAGAAACACTGGACAGACTATTTCCTAATCAGGAGGCTCTAAACACCACACACAGGTTACAGTTGGGCCGACTTCGAAGAATAATAATAATCCTTGCATTTGATATCGGGCTTTTCATGTCTTTTAGACGTCTCAGAGCGCTTCACAGAATACAATGTAAAGGGAATTGACTGCATATTTGTGGGTGAAATGCGGCAGCCAACTGTGCACAGATCTCTTAATCTTAACCATCGCCAGTCGGGCCTTCACCCTCTCTCCCCCCACCCTTTGGAACTCCATCCCACTGTCCCTTCACCTTGCCCCCTCCTTTGAATCCTTCAAGGTACGTCTCAAGACCCTCCTCTTCGACTGCACTTTTAGCCACCCCCCTACCGCTACCCTCCTCGCCCTCCAACTTCCTGATCCCAACCCCCAGCTCGGGTCCAAACCCCTGACTGTCTAGTACCTTGGGACATCCTCCCAACGTGTAAGGCACCATACAAGTGTAATTTATTGTTGTGGTTAATCAAAGCTTCATCACTGATATCCAGAGACATATTCACAGTGCTGTCTCTGGGGCATGCCCTTCATTTGTACTTAGTGCTTCATTGGAGCTGTAATTCAGTGATACCAGGAAGTTTGTGGCTCATAAAGTCATGGTGATAAGTGGGTTAGTTCCCCTTCCTGTGGTTTCCATTTCTTTTGTTTTAATTCTTACCACCCCCCCACCCAAACAGGCCCCTATACACATCCACAGCCCCCTCCAAAAAGTCTCCCTGCAGCTGATTTATGACCTCAGAGGGTTACAATATGACAGGCTACTTCCATGCTACAGAGCTCTTGAGGCAATGAACCAAAACTGAATATCAGCCATAAAACTGGCTTGTTATAGGTCTTCCTCTCTCCCTCTCTCTGTTTCTGTCTTGGCAAGCTGTGCTTAATACATTTCAGAGCTAGGTAGGCAGGATGTGTCCCTCCAGGGAGAGAGAGAGAGAGAGAGAGAGAGGTCACCTGGCTGACCAAAAAAAAATTGTATTTCTCTCTCTCTCTGTATTACTGAAGAGAAAGGGTATTTTTAAGATTGATTGCCCACCTGTAGCCCTTCCGAGGTATCATTTCACACCGCCTGCCCTTTCCCATAAGACCTAATGTTCAGCAGATTCATTTGATAGCCCGAAGCCCGAGCTTTCCATTGGAAGATAAAGGAGCCAGGTATGCTGTGAGGGAAAACCTATTGTACTGATTATTCCTGAATAGGGACGTCAACTAAGTTTACACCAAGTTAGTTAACAAAGTAATAACAAAGCTCTCAGCCTGGCTTGCACTGGCCAGGTGAGTTTGCATTTATAATATAATAATCCTTACATGTTGAAACTCTCAAAGCACGTCGGAGTTTTCTGTGAAGATTAGTGACAATTTGCGCACAGCAATTCTTTTGAATAGTGCCGTGAGATGTTTGACGTCCACCTGAGCAGGCGGGGGAACCTCGGTTTATTGGCTGGCTGGCTCAGTTTGAGGCAAGCACTTTACACCCTGTATTGATTCAATTTGAATATCTTCACACTCGCCTGCAAATCCCTTCACGTCCTGGCTTGTCCTACCTTTCTGACCTGCTTACTCCTCAATCCACTACCCACAGCCTCCGCTCAGCTGGCTCTGGCCTCCTGCATGTCCCTCGTGCCCTCCACTCCACCATGGTAGGCCATACTTTCAGCCACTACTCCCCAAAGCTTTGGAAATTTCTCCCCAATCCCATCCTTCCCTTTTAGGTCACGACTGATCTTTGAACACGCTTACTTAGGGTCACCTCCTCCCTCCCCAGACTCCGCCACTGATAAGCGCTCTGAGATATTGCCCGGGTGAAGGGCGCTATATAAATCCAAGTTATTGCTGTTGCATTGAAAAATGCAGTCTAGGAATTCCGCAGCCTGAGATCTGCAACAAGCTTCAACCTCTGTTTTCTGCAGAGCTGGGAGCTATCAGTCGTTGGTAACGTTTGGACCTGGTTATGTAGGAACACAATGACTGAGAGGCGATGGTTAGGGCAGTAAATGGCTGAACTCGCCAGGAAAAGGTGCACGGCTAGTTAGAGACCCCAATTTTGTAGCTGGCTTTTCCCTCAGTGCACTTACTATTCCTGATGGCAAAGCGCAGTATATTCTTGCATGTCGAATAAAACTCCAGCCGGTTATTTTCCACAAAGTTACAGCCAGGGTTTGCGATTGAGAATGACATTGAAGCATCTACAGACACGCACACGATTTTGTTTCAAAAGACATTATTGTGAAAAGCAATGGGCGTACTTTCCGCTCGCTCCTGTATAAAAACAGGCTTGTGGTTGCAATCTGACGTCTGACAGTCTGTATGGAACAGCGCCTTTGCACGGGTGAACGCCTTCAGGAGTGGAGGACAATTAGAAAATAAGAGCTCCTAAAATATCCCTTTGTTGTAATAGGATTGGTCCGGCCTTGCCAGCCCATGCTGGACTAGCTGGGAATGATTTGCTAATGGTTCTTTTTTTTGTTCTGGAAGCTTTTGGTGATGTGGTGGTGGGTTGAGCCAGGGCAGTGTGCCAGTCAAGTCACCACAGGTGGGGCTGTCTGAAGTCTCAGTTGTTTGGATGCAGAAGCCACTGACAAAATGTTGAAAATCCCTTCATTTTAAACCTAGCATGTGGGACCGACAAGAACTTGCATTTACACAGCGCAATATGGGACACAGAATTTTTACCAGTTCCTGAGTTATTGATGCAAAACAAAAATGAGGTAGGGTTAGCAAAATGTCAATAACTTTATGTCAATTTAGGGGCAAACTTCATACATCCGCTACGATTGTGTTAGATTACACTCTGCTCTTTAATCATAAAGCAACTGATCTACAATTCGTGCACGTCGCACAGATTTACCTGAAGCAGATTTTCTAAAGAAACTTGTCATTTATTTGGCTTCCCTTATTTATTGCTTCACTTCTGTATGTGCGTAGGTTTCCAGAACTGTGTGAAAAAAAAGTAGTGTTTCCTGGAATACAGAACCATCCATTCAGAATGTAAGCTGTTGACACTTAGCAGCAAAGCTACAAACTGCAGTGAGCCCTTCGCAGAGCGCTGAATGATTGCACAAGCTATTCACGAAAAAGTTCCTCATGCTTTTATTCCTTTCAATTTCTATGTCACTTTCTCTACGCCTTTCTCTCTTTCTCTCTCTCTCTGTCTCTCACACACACACACATTTCCAGCAGGGACTTACTGGATAGGAAATCCTGATTTTTGTGTTTAGCCCCAACTGGAGTCCCATAGAGTATTGCCTTGCAAGCGAGAGGACCTGGGTTCGATTCCCGAGGTGGGTGAAACGTTAGGCAAGTTTCCTTACTCCACACACACTTTACAGCGTATTTTGTGAAGCGCTTTGAGACGTCTCGAAGACGTGATAAAGTTTTATATAAAATGCAAGGATTAATTATTATAGTTGCAATGTCCTGACTGAGATCAGCTTGCTGACTCCGCTCAGCTCCTCACTGGAAAGTCGTGATGAGTCACTTCGGAGCAGGGGAGAGTGTGTGCGCGTGTTTTGAAGGTAACTAATTGGAAGCACTTACTGGATAAGTCTGAAGTGATCGAAGAAGTGGTGCAATGTGTAGAGATTGAGCTGGATTTAATATTGATTCTCTGCTCCTTTCACTGATATTGAAACTGTTTAACATGGTGGGTTGTGACTTTAATACTGGAAACCGTTTTTTTTTCGAAGCCTGGGTATCTGTAGTGCAGTGGTTAGAGCATTCTCAAGCGAGAGGACCTGGGTTTGATTCCTAGGCAGGGCAAAACCTTAGGCAAGTTTCCTTACACCACGCGTCTCTGGTTACCTAGAAGTAAGTAGAAAACTGGTTGTTAGTTGATTGGCAGATTTCCAGGAGTAATAATCCCTTCAAGAAAAAATAATAATAATGTGGTCACTTAATCCATGACTGTTTGTGGGACACTGCTGTGCGCAATTTGCTGCAACGTTTTGCCCACAAAATACACAGTCAATTCACTTTACAATATATTCTGTGAAGCGCCTTGAGATGTCTCGAAGACGTGATAAGGCGCTATATCAACAACAAATTACACTTGTGCCCTTCATATCAGAAAGACGTCCCAGGGCGCTGACAATCAGGCGTTTGGGGAGTTGGGGGTCAGAAGGGAAGGACGGTAGGGGGCTGGGGGTAGGAGGGTGGCCGAAGGAACAATTGTAGAGGAAGGTCTTCGGACGGAACTTGAAGTGGGCAAGAGAGGGGGTGAGGGCAAGGATTATTACTATTTTTTTAATCCTGATTCTCTTTCACACTCTCACATTGCAGGCCGCACCCCTGAAAAATGTCATCGAAAATGCCCAGCACAAACAACCTGGTGCAAGCGAGGAGAACAGTACAACAGCTCAGAACAGAAGCCAATATTGAGAGAGTAAAGGTAAGGGCGCTGGACTTTGTGCAGTGATGTGATTGATGTTCTCTGGCGGCATCAAGCCCCTAGCCTGGGGGCTGCAGGGTGTGGTGGGACCTGGTGAATAATGGAATTGGAACTGCGGGGAGCCTGTGTGAACTGAAGGTGGGTTGGGGGGATTTAACGGCATTGGAGGCAGGAGGTGGTGAGATTAGAGTCTCAGAGGGAGGTGTGGAGGGGTTCCCAGAGCAGTAGGCCACGGGTTGGGCAGGATCTTTTGTTCTGGAGCTGGAGTAAGGGCCAAGGGTTGGAAAATGTTTTGATTTTATAAAGAGGGGCAAGATTCTGAGTGACTGACCCGTAATAATGTTTCGCTTGACTGTAGCCCCCGTCTCTCTCTCCCTCCTGCCGTCATCTACCCCCTGGGTTGTTTTCTACTTCAATTGCCCAAACTTATTTTTTCTTAAAAAAGAAAGTGCAACTTAAATGGTAAACACCCCCGTTTGTGTATTATTGCACAATAATAATTTGGTCACTCAATCCACGACTGATTGTGGGACGCTGCTGTGCACAATTGGCTACTGCATTTCGTCCGCAAAATATACAGTCAACTCACTTTACAACAACAACAAGATTTCATTTATAGAGCGCCTTTCAGGTCGGGAGGACGTCCCAAGGCGCTGGACAGTTGGGTCAGGACCCAAGCAGGGGGGAAATGGTCAGGTGAGGGTAGGGAAGAGAGGGAACGAGGAGGGGGTAGAGAGCCAAGAGGGGATCTGAAGGCACGGTCAAAGAGAAAGGTCTTGAGACCGGCCTTGAAGGAGGAAAGGGAGGAAGCAAGGCAAAGGCACTGTGGGATGGAGTTCCAGAGCCTCGGGGATGAGAGGCTGAAGGCCCGGCCACCGATGGTAGGGCGGTTGGGGCGGGTGATGTGGAGTAGACCGGAGCCAGAGGAACGGAGGGTACGGGCAGGTAAGTAGGGGGATAGTAGGTCGGAGAGGTAGGAGGGAGCGAGGCCGTGAATGGCCTTGTAGGTGAGGATGAGGATCTTGAATTTGAATTGAATTAATTTACATTATGTTCTGTGAAGTGCTTTGAGACGTCTTGACATCAAGTCCTGGATGGTAACTTTCTTCAGTTGAATATCAACAAGACCGAGGCTCTCCTGATTGGTTTCCGTCAGCAGCTCCTCACCTCAAGCGCTGACAGCATCACCATCCATGGTTGCACACTCCACCTTGCTAAGCCAGTCCGAAACCTTGGCGTCTTGTTTGACCCTCAACTATCCTTTCTACCCCACATCTGTGCCGCCGAGACCCTCATACACGCCTTCATTACATCCAGCCTTGACTATGCAACTCCTTGCTTGTCGGGCTCCCCAACTCCTCCCTCCACAGGCTGCAGATCATCCAGAACTCTCCCGTAATAGGTTCCATGATCCTGTCACCCCAATCCTTGCCCAACTCCACTATTTTCCCATCACACAGAGGATACAGTTCAAGATCCTGATCCTCACCTTCAAAGCCCTCCATGGTCTTCTCCCCCCTACCTCTACGACCTCCTAACCTCCTACCATCCTGCTCGCTCCCTCTGTTCAGCAGGCTCTGGCCTGCTTCACGTCCCCCGCCTTGCTCGGCCCACTATTGGCGGGCGGGCTCTGCCCCCACCCTCTGGAACTCCATCCCAGAGCACCCTCTGCCTCACCCCCCTCCCTTGCTACCTTCAAGACCCATCTCAAGACCCTACTCTTCGATTGTGCTTTCGATCTCCCTGCTTCCCCCCCTGCCCTCCACCCTCCCCAATCCCGACCCCCAGCTTGGGTCCGTCTGTCCAGCACCTTGGGACGTCCTCCCGACATGAAATGCGCTTCACAAATGTAATTTTGTTGTTGTTGTTGACGTGATAAGACGCATCGTATCAAATGCAAGGATTATTACCTCACATAAATCATATGAGTTGGGATCAAACATTTAACATGACTTATGCAAAGTATGAGTTAAGTCAAACTTGCGTAGAATATAAACTTTTGATTTGGGCAGACGTATGATTTTGGCGATTATACAGTTTATACAGATTAGACTCATGCGAGTTTTACTGCAGTGTTTGTGGGGATGTTGCTGTGCACAAATTAGCTGTCGGGTTCGCCCATAGATACACGGTCACTGTGAAGGGCTTTGGGACTTCTTCCCGACACGAAAGACACCGTACCAAATGCAGTACCAAATGCACGGATTATTCTTAATATTATTATTTCTTTCTTGTTGAATCACACACGTCCTCAACGTTTTGCTTTGCAGATTTCAAAGGCTTCAGCGGACCTGGTGCGCTATTGTGAGCAACACGCCAAGAGCGACCCTCTGCTTATGGGTATCCCAGCCTCAGAAAACCCCTTCAAGGACAAAAAGCCTTGCATCATATTGTAGTTGGGAGATCACATGCCTTTCTCACTGTTTTCCCACAGACCGAAACCTGATGAAGTACTCTCAAACCCTCCCGGAGGCCTGAAATCCCACCTAGCCTTAGCCTGTGAAACCACAGTTTTGATCGTAGAAAAGTGGAACTTTCTTTGATTCGGTCTTGGTTTGGAAGTTGCTTTTCCACAGATCGTACAAAAATGGCTTTGGAATTTAAGAATCGTACACAATTCTGGGTGATCTTTAATTAATGATAATTATTAAATAATAATAATGATTTGGTCACTCAATCCACGACTGTCTGTGGGACACTGCTGTGCGCAATTGGCTGCCGCGTTTCGCCCGCAAAATTTACAGTCAGTCCACTTTACAGTATATTCTGTGTATCACTTTGAGACGTCTTGAAGAATATCAAATTATTAGCAAGGATTATTATGATTATTAAATGCTAATGGCAAAACAGGCTAAGATGAGATGGAATTTGGGGTCTCTGGTTCCCACATCTAATTATCTTTCATATTTCCTATTTTGTGTGCTTATGTGCCAACCCTTCCCCCCTCCTTACAAATGCACACTCCACACAGCAACTCGTCCCTCTTCCACCAGCCACCCCACTTTAGGGAAGTGTTGGTGAACTCAGACCAAAAATATCTATATATCGGTGCCAGAAACACTTGAGAGGGATTGAATGTAATACATGCAGCCGTCCTCAGCCTTGCTTTCTACCACAAAGTGTTCCCCCACCCCCACACCCCCCACCACTCCCTCCCCATGTCAGTGCAAAGTGTGCAATCTTTAAACTTGCAAATCCATTGCAATATGTACTTCAACTGAGACCAAATTTTCCTCAGAAACAAATATCTTATAAAGTCTTAAATTTGCTCTGTGCTGAATGAGGCTTTTTCTTACTCGGTGTGCATTGTCTAATGCCCCCTATTTTCCATCTGCTTGGTGGGGGGGGGGTTTCCTTTTGGGGTGGTGGGGGCTGGAGAGATGGAAGGAGTTTGGGATGGGTTGTCCCAAATATTGTAGAAAAGTGCTGGGGTTTTGGCTGCTGTTGACCCCCACCTCGTTTCCTCAAATTCTCTGTGCTCATCAAAAACAACATAGATTTGTACAGCGCCTTTCACGTCGGGAGGACGTCCCAAGGCGCTGGACAGCCCTGTGCAGTCCAAAGGAGTCTGTCCCTGACTTCACTGAGAATCCCAGAGCTGAGCTCCACAGTGATGGGATGATAAAAAAAAAGAACACTACTTGTTCAACACAAAACCAGTCTGTAGCATGAGGAAAGACTGTCTGTGAACTGGTGTAGACAGAACCTGAATTGCTGTGTACACTAGGCTATTGTCTTTATTTTGCATCTTTTCTATCACAAGAACTGATGGCTGTCTGACAGCTCGGGATGTGCGGGGGGTGGGGGAGGGGTATATTATACATATTCTGATCCTCAGATAATCTAATCTAATTTATTTTCATATCTATTTTTAATATCTCGTACGTGGGAGCAGTGTTCACTTTCTAATGACCAGAGAACTGTTCCACACGTGTTCAACACAAACCTAACCTCTCCATCGCCTTAGTTTGTGGTACACAGTGACTGTACCACATCTGACAGCAGTGCCATGTCATGATTGCAGCAACACTCCAGTATGTCAGCAAGCAGCTTTCTAACCCCCCCCCCATCCCCAATCTCGTCTGCACTGGTGGTTGATCTCTCACTGGAGCTCTCTACTCTAATCCCATTCCCTACTCTCTCCCCCCATCGTGTCTGTGCTGGTGCTCGCTCCCCGACTGGAGCTCTCTACTCTAACCCCATTCCCAGCTCTTTCCCCCATCACGTATGTTATGGTGATCGTTCCCTCATTTATGTTCTCTACTCCCCTCGTTCCCCTGCTCTTTCCCTTTAATATTTTTCTGCAACTGTTTACTAATGAAGGGGCTGGACTGCCAGGAAGTTTATTTCATGGGGGTGGGTGGCGGGGTGGAGTTAATTTTTATTAAATAGCCTTTTGTACTTGGGGTTTAGAATTAAGATCTGAAGGTTATTCAGTTCCACATTTCCCTACATTAAGCTTCCTGGCAGGGACTTGCTGAATGTTCAAATGAAAACCTTGCAATGTTAAAAACTCTGCCAAAACTAACCTTGCACAGCCATGATCTAATAGAATGGTGGAACAGGCTCCAGGGGCTGAATGGCCTCTACCTATCCCTATGTTCCTTTGTTCCTATGTCCTGTGATCGGGGAAACTGTATATTCTAATTTTTAATTATTCATCCATCTAAGTGTTGGTTTTTAGTGTCAATTAGGTAACACTGTCTCTGACTTAAACATCTCAGCTAAAACGACCAAATAGTTTCTGACTTTTAACACTTGTATTATCTCAATTAAATATTTATATTCTATAAATCTATTAAAGAACTCATTGCCTTAGGTATTTGCACTGTTGTCTATTTTTGTGTTTCACAGGTGTTAAAGTGACTCTGATTTGATGAGGTTGGCGTGACTTCAGTTCCTGGTATTTATGGAGTCTTGCAGAGTACTGGTTAGCACGCTCGTCTCGCAGCGAGAGGATCTGGCTTCAGTCCCCCTGACCAACAACCCCCGACCAACAATCGCTCAGATAAAATTGTCGTGGTTGTTTGTGGGTACGTTGCTCTTTGCAAGTTGGCAAGTTCACCCACAAAATAAACTTTACAATGAATCCTGGGAAGCGCTTTGAAATATTCTCCTGATGTGAAAGGTGCTGTATCGAATGCGATCATTATTGTTTAGCTGCTTACACACCAACCCACTGCCTGTTGCCTCCGCTCAACTGGCTCCGGGCCTCCCTGATTATTCCTTGGCACCCCCACTCCACCATCGGTGGCCTCACTTTCAGCCACTAAGCCCCGAAACTGGAAAATTCTTCCTCTATCCCTCCGCCTTGTCCCCTGCTTCCCCATCTTCAGATCACACCCGAAGACCTTCCTCTTCAACTGTGCCAACAGTCACGTGCCCTCTGCTCAGTGCTCTGCCACCGTAAAGCGCTCTGGGACGCTACCCTGTGTTATATAAATGCAAGTTGTTTAATATATAGGCAAGAGCTTTTTTTTAAAATGACCCTGTGGTTTAGTGTGTGCAGTGAGCGATTGAGGACTGTTGTAGGAGTTGTGCACTCTGGGTTCTGCAAAGACTGAAGGGAAATTGCGAGCGAGCCAGGCACAAGCCAGCAAATAACTCGTCAACGACAGATAAGACAATCTTGAGTCTGGTTGTTTTAGTGCCGGTTGAATAACCACAGTGGACTCTGGCCTTCACATTGATAAGGGATATAGGTCATTTCCTGAGAACATGTCCAGACTTGGTGTGTGGAGCCCTTTGAGTGGAATACTTTGAAATAATAATAATCCTTTCATTTGATCCAGCACCATATCACTTCTTCCAGACGTCTCAAAGCGCCTTCACGGGATACACTAAAGTGAATCGACTGTATACTTTGCGGGAGAAACGCGGCAGCCAATTGCGCACAGCAGTGTGGATTGAGTGAACCAAAATTTTTTTCCCGAATTTCCCGACGTGAAAGGCGCTCTATAAATGCAATCATGTTGTTGTTATTGTTGTTGTTTTTGGAGGGTTTATTACCCACAGACAAATCGACTAACACCCGGGTTCCTACTTACTGCTCGGTAAACAGGCGTGCGGAGTAAGGAAACTTGTCCAACGTTTCGCCCTGCTCGGGAATCGAACCCAGGTCCTCTCGCTTGCGAGGCGAGTGCTCTAACCACTGAGCTCCCCAGTGTTGTGAAATTGGTGACCAGTTACTCTCTTTCCCCATCCCACTTCTCCCCCCCCCCTTTTTTTTTAGGAGAATGATTATCCCAAAGCACCTCGTGAGCAGCCTCTCATACCAGAGCGTGCATATTTAACCTCTTACACATTAACAGTCGCCCCATCACCCCCCCCCTCCCCACACCCTCAACCCCCACTGCTTCCCCACCCCCTTCACCAAATAACTAAACTCTCCAAAGACCTCAATCAAGTGCTCTTCAACCACACAGCATGCAATTTCAGCTTGGCGTTTACGCACTGCGTTTACGTCGAAAAAGAAAAGAAAAAAAAGACCGTTTTGCCTAATTACGGGTTGCTTTCTGATGATGGGGGGGGCAGTTTAATTAGTGTTGTGAGCAACTGTCCTGTGCCTCATGGCCCACAGACACGACACTGATTAAACCAAGAGTGACGAGTGACACGAGGGTGGGGTGGTGGGGTTGAGCAGTAAAGGTGTCATTAGCCCAGGGCTGATCTCTCTCTTGGAAATCCTTCCCCTGTGTGCCCGGTTCAAAGGTTTTCATTGTGATTTTACTACTCAGCAAAATAGCCCTTTTTTTTAACCCATGTTGGAATTCGAAGAATTCTGGAGCATTCCTGTGAAGCGCTTTAAGACGTTCTTCCATCGCGAAAAGGCACGTGGATTATCATTATGCTGTAAAGTGACTCAGAGTGAAATGCGTGATCTTTGGTACACGAGGCACTGTGAGTTGAGTCACCGCTGATTTCCTGACCTGTGGCTTTTTTTTGCTTGCCTTTTCCCTCCCCAGCTTCCTTCACCCCCATTTCAGACCAGTTTGTGGTTTCGCTCCCCACCCACACCTGGCGGGCAACCTGCCCAGATAGGCGGGCAAGAACCGCTGATGATGGCCACGCACTCTCTGCCTTCGCCTGCGTTGTTCTGACCACTATTTGGATCCGTGATCTCATTCTCTCCCCCTGCAGTTTTTTGCTCGGGTTTTGATGTGTTTCCTCGTGGTGTTGATCACTGGTGACTCAAGCGCGTGTGTGTGATGTCTGGTTCTCCTGGTGGGGAAATGAAACTGGGAGTTGGTCTCCTTCCCTGAGTTAAATATAAAGCCCAGACAGTGACTGGGGCAAAAGGTGGTCTCAGCACACCATTCCCTTAAGCCCCCCACCCCCACAACTCTCCCTGGCCCCCAACACACGTACACACACTCGCAAGCGTTCACACATATGCACTCACGCATGCACTCACGTTCGCGCGCACGTTCACTGAGACATACACACCCTGACACATACACTCGCTTGCACACACACACACGCACACACACACACACATTTGAGAGGCGCACACATGTACGGCCGCATAAACAGCCGTGAAATAAAATAACCGATATATCGGTTGACCAGAGCAGTGGGAAACGCTATCTTCTCCTTTAGAATATTTTCAGGTTTTTTTCTAAACATTTGTCTGCAAATACAGTTGCTTTACAGTAAATCCTGTGAAGTCACCTGAGGAGTGCTGAGGTGAACGGGCTGGCATCAGGTTGTAAGATTGGTATTGTTTGAGCGCCCGCCTTACATACAGTACTAAACACAGAGAGTCTGGAGGATTTGTCGGGTATAATGCATGGAAACCAGACTGGTCAATTGCCCTCGACGTCCACGTGCGTTGAATTAGCGCTCGGAGGCACTGCTCTGGGCGAAGGGCGCCGTATAAATACAAGTTGCTGTTCTTGTTGGCAACGTACACATTTCCTTGTGTGAGAATACCCTGCTTTCTCTCATCTCCCCTCTGCCCCTCTCCTCCGCTAACCTCCCCTCCCTTCCCCTCCGCTCTCCTCCCCTCTCCTAGGTTTGTATCTTCCCTGTTGAGCAGCAGCACGCAAGTTTCCTGAGCACCAACACCCGAGCCAGATGCAATGAGGTGCAGCTCTGACGTACTTGGCAATATCCTGGCCACCCCTCCCTTTAGGAGACCAGATGCAGATGCACCAGATGCCAATATCTACCACTTGGCGTGTGTCTGTCATGTGTTTGTGTGTGTGTATATGTGTGCCTCCCAACTGTTGTAGCAACGTGACTCAATACCAAAGGCAATGTCTCGTTTACAATTGTTTGAACCAGATTGGAATTTAGGTAAAAGGGCATCACTGTTCTCACCGGCAGCAAACAGCAGCTTCCTCTCAGTGATACCTCCACGCTCCCGCTCGGTGAATATCATCCGCAGGCACAGGGTCAACCTCCACATGTATGCAGATGACACCCAACTCTATCGCGTGACAGATATCAAGTCCCAGATGAGAGCCAACTTTCTCCAGCTGAACGTCGACACCACCGAGACCCTCCTGATTAGCTCCCATCAGTGACTCCACACCTCAGGTGCTGACAGCATCACTCCGGCCACTGTCTCTCCCTCCAGCTGCTGAGACCCCATCATGTCACCCCCTCCCTCCCACGGACCATCCTCCTCCGGAAAGGGAAAGGCCTGATGTGTAGCGATCAGTTAACAAACGCAAGGATTATTATGATAGTAAACTCCTGATAACTCTTCACGCCAAGGAAAAAGAGCGAGTTAGTCAGTGATGAGTTATCAGGAGTGGGGAGTTAGGTATATAAACTCATAAATATTGAGTTAAGCCAGAGTCGAGTTATCAGGAGTTGACTGAATTTTCATAAATATTCCTGAGGTTTTAGTCAAATCGAGTTTATTGTTTGCAGTTCAGGAAAAATGATTTCTGAAACCATGTTACAGAGTTTAACAGTATAAGTGTAATAACATTTATTAACCATTTTTTAAAATATAAAATAACATTGTGGATGGAAACCGATCGATTGCTTTATCACTCAACATAAATTAATAAAAAAGACCTTTTGTCTAAATCACAAAATAACTTATTTAATTCTATCTTAAGACAAAAACAGCAAAATAATATCGTTTTGCACGTGAAATGCAAGAAGCTCTTTGTTTTCGCTTGCAAGTTTTCAAAACGCTCCTGTATTGAACAAAGTCCCGTAGCATAGTGGTTAGCGCACTCGCCTCGCAAGCGGGAGGACCTGGGTTCGATTCCCAGGCGGGGCAACACTTTCGGCCACTTTAGACAAGTTTCCTAACTCCACACACATGCTTCTGTTTCCCGAGTCAAAGGTAAGTAGGAACCCAGTTGATAGTCGATTGACGGATCGTTTTCCGCGGGTAATAATCCCTTCAAAAAATAATAATTTGGACACTCAAACCACGACTGCTGTGAGCAATTGGCTGCCGTGTTTCACCCACAAAATATACAGTCAGTTCGCTTCACAAGCTGTGAAGCTTCGAGACGTCTCAACGACTTGATAAGGCGCTGTATCAAATGCAAGGATTATTATTCTTATTAGTAACGGTATTGCGAGTCCGTGAAAACGCATCCAATCCCTCGCCATGTCCACGTTGCGGCAACTAACTATATATAGATTTCCTGAAAGGAAACGTTGTAGGATGTGAAGGAATGCGCCACTCTCTCTTTCTCTGTGTGGGATCCACATTCAACGCTCAGTTCCATTCCTTTCTGCTTAGTCACTTGTCTCTCCACCTCCAGCCGTGAAACTAGACAGAGTTCCCAGAGAGACACTATAACAACAACAGGCCCCAAACTCCAATCCAGCCGCTTCTCTCAGCAACAAAAAAAATCAAGTCTTTTAATTTTCCCAGCGCCAGGTTTCAGCCGATGAATGCTTGTAATGTGTAGGTTTTTTTCCATGACACACAAAAAAAAACTCAGCAGTTTCTCTTTCTCTCTCTCCAGAGTGAATTGTCATCTCTTTGTCAGTCCAGCTCCTGTGGCTTTGGCTTTTTTTCTCTCTTTCTCTCTCTCTCATCGCTCTGGCAGGTTAATGATAGGCACCCACTGGTCCTGGAAACGGCTCTCTCTGCAGAAACAGGTCACTTTGCTCAGGGCTGGGTCCTTCCACGGCGACACTTGCCTCTGAACAGAGAGAGAAATATTTTACATTTTGCATTAAAACAGTCTCCACACACACACACACACACACACACGCACGCATAGATAGACACACAAACACACAGAGACACATACACTCACACGTACACACACACACACGCTCTGAACAGAGAGAACAATATTTTGCATTTCAAACACTTTCAAAGACACACACATAGACAGATAGAAAGACACACACACGCATACACACACGCACAGCCTCGCTCCAAACACAGAACAATATTTTACATTTGCAGTTAAAATATCTCAAAGACACACACACACACACACACGTAGACAGAGACCGAAGACAGAAAACAATATTTTACATTTGCATTGAAAACACTCTCCTCACACACAGACACGTAGACACACAGCCTGACTCTGAACAAAGCGAGAAACGTTTCACACTTGCATTTAAAACGCTTTGCTCACACGCAGTCACGGCACACGAAAGGGGGAAATTAGCAACCAGTAGCGAACCCGAAGCCCGGGGATTTTGTTTCCCTCTGGGTTTTTTTGGTCGCCTTTTTTTTTAAAATACTCACAGTGACTAATATACAGTGTAGATCCCTGGGTTCCCCAGCTCCATCCACAGCCCCGAGCAGTTCCCCCAGCCTCTGCATGTTGTTAACCCGCATGATGTCAATGTCGTTTTCGCAGCAGAACGCCTGAATCAGGGTGAAATGGATCTGCAAAGCCACATCCACTTTGTCGGTGCTGTCGCTCGCCAGTAAGCACAGAACCACATTATCCGAATCTCTGTGGGTGTTTTGGGAGAGGGAGGAAAGAGAGAGAGAGAGAGAGAGAAAATAGGTCAGATCGTTTGGGAATCATCAGAACAATCCTTGCATTCGATATAGCACCTTATCACGCCTTTGCGACGTCTCGAAAGCGTTTCACAGAATGCGCTGTCGAGTGCGGTGACTGTACATTTTGTGGGCGAACCTCAGCAGCCAATTGCGCGCGGCAGAGTCTCACAAACGGCGGCGGATCGGGCGGACAAATGGTTAGGACTATTTTTTGAAGGGATTATTACCCCGGCGGGACTAACAACCGGGTTCCTGCTTACCGCTCGGCAAACAGAGTAAGGAAACTTGCTCAAGATTTTGCCCCGTCCAGGAATTAGGCTCGAGGCGAGCGGCCAGTGCTTTAACCCCTAAATGACTGGACTCCAGGATGGCAAGCGGGGGGACGGGGGGGGGGGGACGGGGGGGCGGGGGGTGTAGGGTGGGGGGAAACTTGGCAAGTGAGTGTGGTTAAGAGTGAGACGAGGCACCTACACGTTCAGTAACTTGGCTGCCTCGTACACACCGGCTGTGATGCAACCCTGTGGTAATGCTGAGCTCAGGATCTCCTCCAAAGCCTTTCCTACCGCCTCCATCCTGTCCACAGAAAGAGATGGGAAAGTTAACACAAGTCTCTCGATCTTAATACAGGGGGTGTGGGGGGTGGGGGATGGGGGGTGGGGTGGGGGATGGGGGGTGGGATGGGGGTTGACATACTTTCATAGCAAAGACACAGATATCACAAGTACTGCTAACATTTTGCCACACACAACGCAAACAGCATCTTAACTCCTGTCTGCAAAGTTATGCTTTAAAATACACATCTCTCTCTCTCTCTATATATATATACACATATATCTACATACACATATTTAACTTTTTTTTAAAAAAAAACAAAACCCAATAAAAGTAAGATTTGCAAAAGAAAATCGACTGCCACCGGTTTCAAATAAGTTCTCTGTGTCACTTATCTTTTTTTAAAAAAAAAACCCCACACGTTTAAACAACAGCACGAAAGGCAAAACAGGATTGAGTGGTGACTTTCTGGTGGAGGTGACGGTTGACCCACCTGTCTCCTGGATCTCCTGCGAGCTCTTCAAAAGTCATGTTCTTCAGGAAAAAAAAGTAGTGTGGGTGGGGATGGGGGGATGGAGGGGATGGAGGGGATGGAGGGATGGAGGGGGAGGGTGGGAGCTGCTTTGGGTTACTTTGGGGATTCTCTGGGATCTGTCTCTGACTTTGTGTCTGTCTGTCTCTCTCTCTCTCTCTCTCTCTCTCTCCCCTGTCAAGAGTCTCTCTGTCTCTCTCTCTGTCTCTCTCTCTCTGTGCACCTGTCTCCTGGATAGGTTTTGGCTCTTCAAAGGCGTCTCTGCAAAGGCTTTGCTCCAGGTCAGTGTGTCTGTAACTGGGTGTAGTCTGTGTGTGTGTGTGACTCTCTCTCTCTCTCTCTCTATGTCTGGCTCAGTGTGTGTGTGTGTGTCTCTCTCTCTCTCTCTATGTCTGGCTCAGTGTGTGTCTCTCTCTCTCTATGTCTGGCTCAGTGTGTGTGTCTCTCTCTCTCTCTCTCTCTCTATGTCTGGCTCAGTGTGTGTGTGTGTGTCTCTCTCTCTCTCTCTATGTCTGGCTCAGTGTGTGTCTCTCTCTCTCTCTCTCTCTATGTCTGGCTCAGTGTGTGTGTGTCTCTCTCTCTCTCTCTCTCTCTCTATGTCTGGCTCAGTGTGTGTGTCTCTCTCTCTCTCTCTCTATGTCTGGCTCAGTGTGTGTCTCTCTCTCTCTCTCTCTCTATGTCTGGCTCAGTGTGTGTGTGTCTCTCTCTCTCTCTCTCTCTATGTCTGGCTCAGTGTGTGTGTCTCTCTCTCTCTCTCTCTATGTCTGGCTCAGTGTGTGTCTCTCTCTCTCTCTCTCTCTATGTCTGGCTCAGTGTGTGTGTGTGTCTCTCTCTCTCTCTCTCTCTCTATGTCTGGCTCAGTGTGTGTGTGTCTCTCTCTCTCTCTCTCTCTATGTCTGGCTCAGTGTGTGTCTCTCTCTCTCTCTCTCTCTCTCTATGTCTGGCTCAGTGTGTGTGTGTCTCTCTCTCTCTATGTCTATGCTCAGTGTGTGGTATCTCAGCACTTCAGTCTCTGTTGCGTGAGTCTCAGTTTCTATTCTCAGTGGGTGTGTGTCTCAGCCTCTCTCAAGGTATGCACTGTGTGTGTGCGTGTACGTGTTTCCCAATCACTGTGTGGGGGTGTGTTTCCCAGTCAGTGTGTGTGTGTGTGTGTGGGGGGGGGGGGGGGGGGGGGGGGTGGGGGGTGTTTCCCAATCACTGTGTGTGGGGTGTGTTTCCCAGTCTGTGTGTGTGTGTGTGTGGGGGTGGGGGGTGTTTCCCAATCACTGTGTGTGGGAGTGTGTTTCCCAGTCTGTGTGTGTGTGTGTGTGTGGGGGGGGGGGGGGGGGGGGGTGGGGGGTGTTTCCCAATCACTGTGTGTGGGGGTGTGTTTCCCAGTCAGTGTGTGTGGGGGTGTGTTTCCCAGTCTGTGTGTGTGCCTCAGTCTCTGAGCGGGTTTCAGTCAGTGTGTATCTCAGTCAGTCAGTGCCGCAGTCACTGTGTGTGTTTCAGTCACTGTGAGTCTCTGTCACTGTGTGTGTGTGTGTCTCTCTCTCTCCCTCTCTCTGTGGATCTCTGTCACTGTGTGTGTCTCTCTGTGTGGGTCTGTGTGTGTGTGTGTGTGTCTCTCTCTCTCTGTCGATCTCTGTCACTGCGTGTGTGGGTCTCTGACACTGTGTGTCTGTGTCTCTGTGTGTCACTGTGTGTGTGTGGGTCTGTGTCACTGTGTGTGTGTGGGTCTGTGTCACTGTGTGTGTGTGTGGATCTGTGTCACTGTGTGTGTGGGTCTGTGTCACTGTGTGTGTCACAGTGGATCTGTGTCACTGTGTGTGTGTGGGTCTGTGTCTCTGTCACTGTGGGTCTGTGTCACTGTGTGTGTGTGGGTCTGTGTCACTGTGTGTGTCACAGTGGGTCTGTGTCTCTGTGCCCAGATGTTGCTCTAATGTAACAAACTTCTCCTCTCAGCCAATCAGCGTCGCCTCATTTGCATATCACAGCCCATTGGCGGTTCCGGTTTATGCAGATGAGCCTCGGCCACGTGACCGGGTGGCCCTGGGGGGCGGGGCGAGCGCTCCTGTCAATCACACACAACAATAATAATAATAATAATGTATAATAATAATATATAATAATAATCTTTGCCTTTGATGCAGCGCCTAATCACGTCGTCGAGACGTCTCAAAGCGCTTCACCCGATATGCTGCAAAGTGAAGTGACTGCGTTTTGTGGGCGAAACGCGGCAGCCAATGGCACGCGGCAGCGTCCCAGTGAAGTGACCGAACCATTATTATTTTTTTTTCTGAGAGATTATATTACTTATTCCAAATGCAAGGATTATTATAGTGCTTTTCACGTCGGGAGGACGTCCCAAAGCGCTTCACAGAACACACCGTAAAGTGAAGTGACTGTATATTTGTGGGCGAACGTGGCAGCCAATTGCACACAGCAATGTCCCACAAACAGTCGCGGATTGAAAATGACCAATTTATTATTGTTTTATTTTGAAGGGATTATTATGGGACAGTGCTGGGGGGGGAGGGGGGGGAAGTGCTGCATTTGTCAGAGGCATTGCCCCTCACATGAACACCAAACTCCTGTCTGTACCTGTTCAGGTGAACATTAAAGATCCTGTGGCGTTATGTGAAAAAAGGCCGAGAATCCTCTCAGAGAGAACGGGTTTCTCTCTTCATGGCAGTTTGCTCCACGTTGCTGTGCGCAGTTCAGTTGCCGCATTCACTCTCACAACACACAGTCACTACACTTTACACCAATTCCTTGTGAAGCGCTTTGCGACTGTTCGATGTTACAACAACAACAACAGCAAAATTACATTTACAGAGCGCCTTTCACACGTCGGGAGGATGGGCGGAGAGGTGGGAGGGCGACCAAAGGCAAAGGTACGGTCGAAGAGAAGGGTCTTGAGACCGGCCTTGAAGGAGGTGAGGGGAGGAAGCGAGGCCAAGGGACCGTGGGATGGAGTTCCAGAGTGTGGGGGCAGAGAGGCTGAAAGCCCGGCCACCGATGGTCGGGCGGGAGACATGGAGCAGACCGGAGCCCGATGAACGGAGGGAGCGGGCAGGTTGGTAGGGATTCAGCAGATCAGAGAGGTAGGAGTGGTGGACAGTATCGAAGGCAGCAGAGAGGACGAGGAGGCAGAGGGAGCCCTGGTCGCAGATGGAGAAAATGTTCCTTTGTCACTTGTGGCCGGAGCTGTTTATAAAACAGAAAACATTGTATAATATCATTTTTTTCAAATATGGTTCCCAATAAAAAGTTACGATGGATTCTGCTTCAACCAGTGTCTTCGCTCGGACCTTCCACGGCCTTTTCACTTCTAAATAATGGTGCGCGTTCACATTTCATGTAAAAGATTTCATGAGCTGTGACACAACGTTAGTGTCTGGATATTCAGCACTTGGTAAATGTAAGCTGACCTCATACAAATGACTCGTGATGGTGATTTCATTCCCTCTTACTGTTGGTTGCATAAGCATCAATTATTCCCACGTAGCTCTGTACTGGCTCCCCCTGCCCCCCACCCCCCCCACCCCCCAACTACCTTCCGCGCCCCCCCTTCACCATAGCTTTTCACTGCACATTCGCTCACCTGTCTTTCCCCTCCCACCTCACCATCCTCAGATACCCTCCGTGGCTTTGAGCGAGTTACTTGTTCGGTTCAGCTGTGAAAAACAAACACACACACGGTCACTACACTTGAGAGCAATTCCCTGTGAAGCGCCTTCTCCTTCCGAGCTCGGGCTCCCCTCAGGTAAGTGAAGTGCCTTGAGATGTCCTCCCGGCGTGGAAGGTGTTAGTAGGAATCCGGTTGTTAGTCGATTGGCGTATCGCTTTCGGGGGTAATAATCTCTTTTTTTTAAAAAAAGCGGTCACTCAATTCACGACTGTTTGTGGGACGCTGTTGTGCGCCATTGGCTGCCATGTTTCGCCCACAAAATACACAGTCACTCCACGAGACGTCTCAACGACATGAAAAGGCGCTATGTCAAATGCCAGGATTATTATTATTATTAAAATTGCTTTGCAACGCTCCGAGGCTCTTATTCCTGGGTGAAGGGCGGCATAAAAATGCAAGTTGTTGCGGTTGTTGCATCGCGGTTTAAGCGGAGTGGATGTTGAGTTGACTTTTATTGAAAGTGGGATCAGAAAATCTTTCTTCACGCAGAGGGTTGTGCGGGCGGGATTGAGATGATTGAGGGTTTAAAAATGTGGGGTCACCCTCCTATCCCCACACTCACTGCCCTCCATCCCTCCTGATCCCATTCCCCCAGATCGGGTCCAAATCTCTGTCTGTCCAACGGCTTGGGACGTCCTCTCGACATGAAAGGCGCTGTGTAAATGTCATTTGTTGTTTGTTGTTGGGGGCGTTTAAAAGGCTGATGGACGGAACCTGGGAATTAGTAAAGGTAGTAAAGGTTCTGGAGAAAAGTCAGGGAAATGGGATTAAAATATCTGATAATGGCCCCCACCTGCTCGTACTCTTTTGTGACAGTTTATGTGTAACCTTAATTGTCTTAAATAATCCTTAATCGTTGCTTTTGATATAGCGCCTTATCGCGTTCTTGAGACGCCTCCAAACGCTTCACAGGATATACTGCAAAGTGGATTAACTGTATATTTTGTGGGTGAAACGCGGCAGTCAATTGCGCAGGTGGAGCGTTTGAATGATTTTATTTGGGGGGGGGATTGTTGGTCAGGACACCGGGAGAAGGAAACTCCCTTCTGTTTGAAATAGTGCCGCGGGATCTTTAATGTCCTGAACAGTTTAACGTCTCATCCGAAGGAGATAGCTCCTCCGACAATGCAATCCCACCCACGCCCCCAGCACTGCATTGGAGGGTCACCTTAGACAATATGATTCCAAGCCCCAACGTGGGGGCTTGAACCCCATAAGCTTCTGACTCGGAAGCGAGAGGGAGAGAGCTGCGTTGGGACAGGAGAGCTCATTCTCACTCCAGGGAAGGCAATGCCACCCTGGCACAGCGTCAGGGTCGGGAACCACACAGTTTTGGGCAGAGACAAGACCCCCT